AGACAGATTTCAACAACACCAGACTTCCTCCTCTCTGGCTCAGTTTCTAGGCACCTAGCCAAGGGAATTCCTCATGATCCTTAAATGTGTCCACCTAGCCATTTCTCACATCTTGCATCTTCTCTAGCTGATGCCCCTTTTCTGGGTTGGATCCAAAGGTTCCATTCCACTAATAGTGGAGCCTTCCTCTGGAACAAGGAAACAGACCTGGGGACATTAATTGGCCAAAAGAGGATCCAACTCAATTTGTCCCATGTTTCTCAGTGACATCTTTCATGAGACACTTCTTCACTGCTTAGTAACAGGCCTGGGATTGCTCATTCTTGGCATCGACATTGTGTTGCCAACCCCCATGTGAAGCCAGGAGATCTCTTGGCATTACAGCTCCCAACCAGAGAGATCAGTTCCCCCAGAGAGAATTGCTGCCTCAGAAGATGGACTGTGTGGCAGGTTCATTCAATTAATTCATTCATTCAAAACATTTATTAGCTACCATTCATCCTCATGGAGCTTAAGGTAGGTTACAAACATAGTTAAAATACATCAAATGAAACCAGGGGTCATTTCGTAGAAAAAGAGCTAGGGGGACTCATTAGCATAACTCATTAGCATATGCCACACACCCTGACATCACCGGAAGTGTGTCCTCCCCACAGCCGGCGGCGACCTCCAGCGGGCACCAGCAGGGCGCTCCAGGCCCCGCCCTCCCGCACCTCACCCGGGGGGATGGCGTCCCCCTGCATCCCCCCCCAAATGACCCCTGAATGAAACACATTAAATGCATAAAACCAAAATTTAAAATCACTACTCAGGACTGCCAGTCAGCTTGACGAAGTGCAGTCCTAAATAAAACAAGCTTCTGCTGCCCCATAAAGATTGAAAGTGAGGGGGGCAGGCACACCTCCCTGGGGAGGTTGTTCCGTAATCATGGGCCTGCCACTCAAAAGACCCTCTCAAATGAGCTTCTTTGATTGATGGAACAATCAAGAGGGACTCTCCCTGTGATCTTAATTCCCAGGCAGGAACATATGGGAGAATGCATATAATGCAGTTCCAAATCATGTAGGGCTTTTAAGTTCAAAACCAGGACCTTGAATTGGGCTTGGGAATGGATTGGTAGCCAGCGTAATCATTGTGATACCATGGTCACATGCTCCCAATAACTGGCCCAGACCAGTAGTCTAGCTGCAGCTTCCAAAGACTCTTCAAGGGTAAGCCCCAAGTAGGGTGCACTACAATAGACCAGTCTGGATGTAACTAAGACATGGATCACTGTGGCTAGATCTGACTGATCCAGGAATGGATGCAGTTGATGCACCAGCCAAAGCAAGGCAAAAGCACTGCAGACCAGTGCAGCCACCTGGTTTTCAAAGGTGACTTCTATGTCAAGCAGTACTCCCAAAATATGGACCTCACTTTTCAAGGGAAGTATAATCCCATCCAAGACTGGAGAGATCTCACATTCTGGGGCTGCCTTTTTACTAACTCATAGAACCTCTCTCTTGTCAGGATTAAGCTTCAGTTTCTTCACCCTCATCCATTACTGACTCCAAGCATTGGTTCAGAATTAGGGTTGCCAGGTCTCCCCTGGCCACCAGAGTTGGATTGGGGGTAGGGCTGCCAGATCCAGGTTGGGAATTCATGGAGATTTGGGGATAGAGCCTGGGGAGGATGGGGACTTCAAAGGGATACAATGCCATAGAGTTCACACACACAGAGACCGAGCATTGATTTTGTCCAGAGATGAGCTGTAATTCCAGGGGATTCTCCAGGTCCCACCTGGAGGCTGGCATCACTATTCAGAATATCAACAGCTTCCTTGGAATTAGGTGAGAAAAAAAAGGTAGAGATGAGTATTGGTGACACCACGGCCCAAACCACCTGATGACCTCTCCAAGTGGCTTCACATAGATATTAAATAGCAAGGGGGACAAGATTGAACCCTGTGGAACTCCATGGGGCAGAGCAGGAATCCCCCAGCACTACCATCTGAGATCCAGACAGAACTTGAACTACTGTACCATGGCGTCCCCCAGTCCCAGTGTTGAGAGGTGGTTGAGTAGGATACTAGGGTTGATTGTACTGAAGGCTACTGAGAGATCCAGCAGAACTAGCAGGGTCACATTCCTCCCATCTAGTTCTCTGTCTATTTCATTCCCCTACCTAAATCACACCTTTCCCAGACTCCACTCCCAAATCCACGAATTTTCATAACCCAGAATTGAAAACCCTAGATGGCTAGTTATGGCTGCCAGCTTTGGGTTGGGAAATACCTAGAGATTTTGGGTGTGGAGCCTAAGGAAGGCATGGTTTGGGAAGAGGAGGGACATCAGGGGGCTATAATGCCATAGAGTCCACCTTCCAAAACAGCCATTTTCTCCAGGTGAACTGATCTCTGTCACCTGGAGATCAGTTGTAATAGTGGGAGATCTTCAGCCACTACCTGGAGGCTTATGGCCAGTTGCCACACCTCCATTGCCACAGCCATGATTTACAAAATGTGTTCCATCCTATCTCCTCACCTCAGTTCACCATAACTGCCCTCAAGCCTCATCTCCAGGGCAACCATCATAAACTTAACTTATGAATAAATCTCTGAAAATTAAAAAAAAGCCTGCATCAACAGATACCAATTCTCTAACAGTTGTTTTCTGCCTCTAGTAAATGAGTTCTGTAGTCTCTTCTTCCCTCTCAGAAGGATCAACCATCGGATCAACCATGAACATCGCATAATCCAGTTGTAGGACAGTAGCTTCCACAGATTTGGTTGAAGAGACCATACTCATGAAGCAGAGCAAAGATTAGCATTTTCCATAGCAATTAAAATGAGGAAAGTGCCTAAGGCTGGTGAATCTGAGAACTCCCCCTCCCCATTTTCTTGTCATTTTCTAGTCATTTTAATGTTATTATGCAAATGAAAACAAGAAAAAAAAGTATTGTGACATCTCCAAGACTGACAGATTCATTGTGGCAGAAGCTTTTTGGGGGCTGGAGCCTGCTTATCAGATGCATAAAATGTTCACTTAAGAAAACACAGACTTTGAGTTAATTGCGGGGGGGGGATCACAAACAGGCTAATAGGTCAAAACGTAGTAAGAGATAGGTGTCTCAACTTAACTTTGCAGAATACAGGAACCAGTAGAACCAATCAGAATGATTATGGCTTCATTACTGAGTTATGCTACCCCTCTGTATTTGGGGGAAAACCCTATTAAACTCTCAATAGTTTGGGCTGCAAGTTTATTAACATTTCACTGTTTCACTGTTATTGCTGAAAAAATTTGTCAGTCTTGCTGTTTGGGTTGCCTGGCAACAAGCAGGAGGGTTGAAGGCAGAATCATGATGGGGGAAATCACTACAAATATAATGACATCACTTCTGGTTTTTACCACAGAGTTTCCAGTGATTCCTAGAGCTACTGTGGCTGCTTCCAGGTTTTCCTCAAAAGTGACACACCAGACTTGCAATGCTTGTGATGTCCCCTCCCACCCCGCAGCCCTACTGCTAGTTCATGACACTCCTCAGTGTTGGGGAAATTGGCAAAAATAGTTAGACATTCAGAGATTGCAGTGGATCTTTGCTTCACTGGAGGGCAGGCATTTTCTTCTATGGAAAAATTTCTAAGGGAAGGGTTCACCGGAAATCTACAAAACAACGAAGACATCTAAGGCTACAGTTTGACCACATGGTCTACAACCATGGAGATTCTTTTTCTTCTTGACCCCTAGAAGGAAATCATCTGAATGCATTAACCATTGATTGTTAGTAAACAGGCTTCAGTTTTGCGGCTTTGTTTCCATTGGCTCTGTGCCAGGTTTCCTTCCAGGGCAGTCTAAACAATAACACACAAGGTAAGCACACAATAACCCTATAAGGACTGAATTTTAGACCTTGCAACACATATATTTCCAACACTTAGGACACTAGGTTTGCATTCATCACAAAAACAACAAAAACAACAAACCCCAACTCCAGTTTGTTCATGAAAACTAACAAAGTTTTGGTCTTCTCCTTACATTTCTGTGAAGCCATTTTGTTTTATTTGTTTCTTCGTTCTCTAATTTGCCTCTCAATACACAAAAACAAAAGACCACAGAAAAGATTACCTAAATTTATTTTTGGATAGTCAAACACACATGCTGATGGAGTTGAAGTGAATAGGAAGAAGAAGGAGCAATTATCTCCACATTTTTATAATTGAGTGTTGTTTTAATTTCCACTCTTGTTAATAGAAGTTTAAATAAGTAATAGTTGTTTCCAAGGAAGCAATCGACTCTTGTAATCTGGGATGACATCCCTTAAAATGGAAAGGTCACCATTTGTCCAATATGACCAGATGGTTGGGGAAACAAAGGATTTTAATTTTGAACATTACTTGATTCAAAGTATCCTAACACAATATAATAGGTATTTATGTAAATGCTGGCTCCTCCCTCCTTCCCAAGCATTAAACTCTAGAAATTGTGCAAATGTGAGCAAAAAGAAAGAACAAAATCTACCAGATACTTTCTTCCACTGTACTGGCATTTTACACCAAAGGAAGATCTTTAACAGCAACCGATGCAGAAGTAAAGCACTATGTGGTTAAATTGTAGATCTCATTGAAATGGAATTTGGTGATAACCTCTACCATAAGTCAGCCTTAAAAGGAGCCAAGCCAAATTAATGGAGGAGAGATGCATCAGTGGCTACTAGGAGGGAAAGAGAACCAGGAACACCCCTGAAAATTGACAGAGCAATTATCCATGATGACTAAATGGAACCTACAAGGTCAGAAGTAGCATATTTCTGAATATCAGGTACAGGAGGTCAACAACAAGAGAATGTGTTGACTTCCATGCCCCTGTCTATGGGTCTTCTAGTTGGCCAGTTTTGAAAACAGGATGCTGGATTAGATGGGCCATTGGTCTAATTCATCATGGTGTGTGTGTGTGTGTGTGTGTTGGTCTAATTCATCATGGTATGTGTTTGTGTGTATAGTAACTTTAAATTATCAGTACCTTATGGCACTTGATGTTACATCAGGGTCCCGAGCAGTCACCTGACCAATCACAGAGTCAATGGCAGCATTTTCATGCACTTCTAGCAGATAATCCGGTGACGAAAAAACAGGCGGTTCGTCGGCATCCTCTACTATGATCTTGATTGTTGCTGTATCTTTGAAGGGCCCCACACTGATGAAACGTTGATCAATATGAACATTGGTTGCCTCTATCTTCAGAGTATAGGATTTTTTGGCCTCATAGTCCAAGGGCTGTTAAAATTGACAAAGATAAATGGCTTTTGCTAGCAGCCGCAGCATCAAAACAAATGCATACAATGCCAACTGACAAAATTGTTATGCATTCCAGCCCCAGTTGCTGGGTTTTAAAGCAATCACTTCCCATTCTCTTTGCTCTGCCCTGTAAATTTTCCATTTTATTGATACCTGTTTATTGGGTAAGCCTCAATGAAACCTGGTGTCCTTTGTCTTAAAAAACAACAACAACAAAAACTAGGAACCTGCACACAAACTCTTACTGAGGGTACCATCAATATTCAGCCCTCACTATTTATTTTATTATTTTTTTTAAAAAAAACTGCTAATGGCATGGCTGGCATACTAATCACACACTTAATCAGTATTCTGTTAGCTGAAGATAAGGAGTAAAGGAGAGAGAAAAATCCGTTGACTGTGCAGTGTAACATTTTTACTACATGTGGAAGTGTGTGAACAATGTACAGAATTAGCAATGATTGTGGAAAGGCATTATTCAGTACAATTTAGATCTAATAATATGAAAAAGTAATATTACTATACATCAGCTTCGCCATGGTTTATGGGAATACTAGGAATAAGGTCCATTGTGGAAATAAATATGAGCTCTAAAAAGAGGCTCTGGGAGAGTGCCCCAGCCTTGGGTACTCAGCACCAATTCCCTGTGGCGACCTCATAATGACACAAATATAATGACACAGAGTCCACCATTTTCTCCAGTGAAACTGATCTGTCCCATCTGAAGAGCAGTTGTAATTCTGCGTGATCTCCATCCCTCCCCTGGAGACTGGCAACAATGGTTCCCCATGAGGGAATGGCTGGTTTGGAGGGTGAAGTCTATGGCATTGTACCTGAGGTCCCACCCCTCCTCAAACCTCACCCTCTCCAGGCTCCACCCCTCAAATATCCAGGAATTTTCCACCTGGAGTTGGCAACCCTATCAGGAGTGGCCCCAATGAGTTTTCTCCGAAAGGCCAAAATAGGCATGGAAAGGGCCTTTTAGTGAGAACCTGGTTGCCTAGCAACAGGCACTGAGTAGAAAGTACAGTTTCCACCTCTGATTAGGGAAATACCTGGAGGTTTGGGGGGTGGATCCTGTGGAGGGCAACATTGGGTGTGTGTGGAAGGACTCAGCAGGGGATAATACCATAGGGTCTATGCTCCAAAGCAGCCATTTTCTCCAGGGGAACTGATCTCTGTCATCTGGAGATCAATTGTAACAGCAGAAGATCTCCAGGTCTCACCCGGAGATTGGCAACCTTAGGGGAAACTCAGCTGCACAGCAGGTGGTTGAGGAGAATGGTTTGATGGTCACTGGCCCACCTCATTAGCCAGCCAGCTATGGTGGAGCGAAAAAGGAGTGAGAGGTGTGTTAAATTTATTGTGACAGGAAAGTGGCCAAGCTTGGGGGGGGGGGGGGTATGCTGAAAGTCCTTTGGGTTTTTTTACTCACAGAAGCAAGCTTGGTTGTTTGGTTGCCTAACAACAGCCATTGAGGAGACAGTTAGTCACAGTTAGTCTCACACAGGAGCGAAGAGAACTGTCTTCCTCAGGAGAGAGTCCAGCTTTCCAGTAGCCACAGCTCGTTTCCTCTAGGCCAGACCCTCCCTGGCACTGCGGGTGCTGCTGAAGGAAGGCAGGGGAGCCTTTGATAGGTGCTGGGCAGCCTTCTCTGTGGTTCAGGCCTTGTGGCCGAGGGAGAGGGGCCACAAGGGGCAGCGAAGGTGAGTGCTTCCCCTGCTTGCCACCGCTCTCTAGGTCTGCCTCCTTCTCCCTCGTGGAGGGGTTGCCGCTCTCTCAGCAGAGCATCCACCCCCTTCACTGGCTCCCTCCAGACTAAGGGTGAAATGCTGCCCACTGGCTCGGTGGACGGGGCCGAGCCAATGCAGCGAGCCAATGCAGCCACGGGATTGGGAGACTGTGAGAGTGGCATCTGAGCGGGCCAAGGCTGTGGAAGCGAGTCCAGGAGGGACACCAAATGCCAAATATATATAAGGAGAGATATGTGCCTACAGTAGCTGCCATGTAGCTTTACTTTTTGCTTATTGTTCCAGAGAACAACAAAAAGGATATGAGAATTATGACTTGGTGATGCTTAAAACCAGCTTTGGTTTAAACTGGACTGCTATGCAAATGTCAAACACGCATTTGATTTGGCTTCTCTATGTTAATCCTGCATTAACAATACTTGCACATAGAAGTACGAGTGTATTGTTACTTCTCAGCTAACTACTGAGAACACAGTCATCCTAGGATGTTTACCTGGGCAAGGTCCATGAAACTTAAGTGGCTGTACAAAGTACAAAGCAGGGGGGATTTATAATTCTGTTTTGTGGGTCAGATCTGAAACAGCTGAAAACAGTATAGGTCATATGAAATGTCCATTTATATTGTAAATTCAAGAGACAATTGGAATGGATCTGGTCTAAGAATCCTTTCTAATATTGTATTATTGGATCTAAGGGAGAATTTTTATGAAGTTCAGTTTCACTGATACCTGACATTTTATAAAATGGGATGTATCAGATGTATCCAACACTAGATATATGTTGGCATTGTCAAAATTCAAGGGTTCATTTTTTAACATTTTTTTCCCCAGTGTCCCATTGTAAAGCAATTCCGGAAAGTGGTTGCAGTTAGAGAAATAATAGGATATCATTTACCATGTGACCGTAGAATACTTTTGTTGGGATACTTCAAAGATATTGTGTTAGAAGAAGATTCAGAATTTATCTTCAGTTTGATTAAAATCTCTTTATATTTATTTCTGTTGCCTCGTAGTGGGGGGGGGGGAAATGCCAGTGCTCTGCCTCTAATAGACTGGTACAAAACGATTTGGGTATTAGCATTGACATCTAAACTAACATTATAAAAGATCTAACTCTAGTTCACAATTTATATGAACTAGAGGATGCACTGGGATAACCATCTGAATAATCTTGAATCCTGTGTTCCCTTTGCAAAACCACATTTCATGTAAAATACAAATAAAATAAAATTTAAAAAGAAATATATCAATTCATGCATTTTCTGTATAGTAGCATCACATGGTTGGGAGACACATCTGCTAGAGGAAACACATTTTTTTCCAAGGCATTATCACATTTGTTTGTGAATTGTATTCCCATTCAAAAGTGCAGATATTTCTAAGCAGTAGGAAGCAGATTAGAATCACATAATTTGCTATTTTGAAACTGTGATTCCCAAAGCAATAGAAAGTTTGAGACTAGTATTGTAGGATCGGGGGGGGGGGGAATCCATATAATTCATCTCCATGGTACAGGGCTGCCAGGTCCACCCTGGCCACCAGCGGAGGAGGGGGGTTGCCAGATCCAGATTGGGAGACTCCTGGAGATTTGGGGTGGAGCATGGGAAGGACCGGGATCTCAGTGGGTCAGAATACTGCAGAGTTCACCCTCCAAAGTATCCATTTCCTGCAGAGGAACTGATTCCTGTAGTCCGGAGATCCCAGACTACCAGTCCTACTTTACGGCTGGTATCCCTAAAAAAAAAAGAAGTCTCTGGAATGAAAAATCCCAGATATTCACAGCATTTCTCTACAGTATGGCAAACTGTGAATACGGATATTTATGCATTTCATGGATGTACTTGCCAATGAATTGTACGATAATCTTGAAATGTAATATGGCAGATGGGGGGGGGCAGGAAGGATGCCATATAGGATTTTTTTACAGTTATCTTCAATTGTCAGTTTTATGATAATCCAAGATTTCTGTCTGCTGCAACTCCAAGAACATCTACACACGTATATTCACAATCTAACCCCATGCCTCACAATGATTAAAATTTCAGGCATGCAAATTTGTCAAGCTTTGGAAAGATATGCAAATTTGCATTACAATGTCCCATGGAAAGGACCAAAAAAAAAGAAGAAGAAGAAGAAGAGAAAGAGAAAGAAAATGACACAGAGGCTTAAATCTGCAATGCAAATACAAAGAGCACAAATAGAAATCACAGAACTCTTTCAGGAAGTCTGAAAGCTTAAATATATAGTCTTACTTTCAAAAAATCTGTGTTGATTTTTTTTTAAAGATATGAATCTGGCTCTAATGGGACTTTGCAATTTTTAGTAAACATGACAAGCATTTGCTTCTCCATCGACTCAGAAATTACTAACCATTTGTACCTATGAATCGGTGGCTGTAAATCAGCATATTCACAATTTGCCAATCACACATCCTGTATCATTTGTGCTGTTTCAAATTCAAAATGATACCAACCCCAAGCATTTGTCAGCCTAGTTCTCTGAACATCACATTGAAAATCTGTTCTCCATTGTATGACTGTGGGACTAGGATTATTTCTACATATATCTTTATATACATTGCTATTTGGTTGTGGGTTTTTTAAAAGGACAATACTAGACTTGCCATTTGCCTACTTGCAGCAGGTATACCCTTGCCCAGTCCCAGTCTCCTGTCCTTGAGAACTCGAGGAGAGGGAGAGAAAAAATGGCTTGAAAATGGCCTCCATAGTGACACTCTAGGAATTTCCCCTTGTCTCTATAGTGTTTGCCAAAAAAATTAGAGGGAATTGCTACAGTGTCACCCAGAAGTGATGTCACATCCTCCACTCCATCCACCCCAGTCACCACTCTCAAAATCTCTCTGTATTTGCTGAGGCAGTGCTGGAATCCTGGACAATACACAATGTTATGGTTTGGGGCAGGTTGAGACTATGTACTCAGTCAAAACAAGTGTGCACCCCTAGGGCAGCTTCTGTTCTGGGCTGACCAATGGGTTGCCAGCATTTGGCCAACCCCATCCTGGCTCCAAATGCAGAATCGTACAGACACTGTTTCTCTCTCATCCTTTCCTGCACATACCTGCTTGATTATTAACACCATTTTCTGACACCAATTAGCATGAAGTTCAGGTGTTGATGATCAGCAGTGGGGGAAGTTCCCTCCCAAGCTGCCTGGTTCTGCCCAAACAAAAGTGTCTGTGTTGCGCACACCTCCTGACCCCAGATGCCTCAGTTACTTCCCAATCTAATTTTCAACACACACAGACAAACTGCTCTAGGTTTGCCAGCTCTGTTTAGGGCCTAAACAATCTCACAGAGAATAGGCTAATTAAAACCTCCTGTTGCCCAAGAGGTACATAAAGCAGGCGGGGGACATGTCTTTATCCCATCCGTTTTAAGATGGAGGGGACTTATTGGCAGTGGAAAAAACCAACACCAGAGTCTAAGCATTGTTGCTGGCAACACAGTGATGTCAATTCTGGTGTGCACCGGGAATGATGTCATCTCGTTGCTGTTGATACAGGGACCATTTTACCATAGAGTTTTTGCCCAAGTACCAGAATGTGCCTGTGTTGCCAATGACATGATGATGTCACTTTTGGCATGTGTTGGAAGTGACATTGTCACATCACCAGTGATGATGCTGAGATGCTGGTGTAGGCTTTCTTCGCTGCTGGTGAGTCCTCTGGCCAGCCAGCTTATCAGTCGTGGGGATGTGGGGGATCTCCCACTCCCAGTGGGGGGACAGGCAACTCTAGGCCCAAAGGCAGCTCTTACATCTAAGCAAGAAGGAGCTGGTCTTATGGAAGAAGCCCAGGGTTTAAAATGCAAAAATACTGACTGCATCTTATGGACTTCTCAGCTTCAGTCACTTCAACAACAGATCTTCTCACCGAAATAAGTGGGGCTTTAAAATGCATCACTTTGGCTAGACTGTGTCCCCAGCAAATGAAACAAAGCTATAGGGAAAGTGGAATTACAAAATGCATTTGGTGGTGGTCAGGGGTCGTTTCGTAGAAAAAGAGCTAGGGGAACTCATTAGCATAACTCATTAGCATATGCCACACCCCTGACATCACCGGAAGTGTGTCATAAGGCCACACACCCCGCCCCCAACGGTCCCGGCCGCTGCTGCCGGCCTTGCAGCTCCACTGCTGAGCCCCATGAGGGGCCCGGCGGTGGACCTGCAAGGCCGGCGGGAGTGCAAGGAAGCCCCGCAAAGGCCCTCCCTGGCCCCAGGCAGGCAGGGGTGGGGAGAGGCAGGGAGGAAGCAACTTACCCTCCCTCTTCTCCTGCCTCCTCCTGGCTGAATGAGGGCCGGAAGCGGGGCGGCCGGAAGCAGGGGGCGGGGCTTTGTCATGTGCCCCGCCCCATACCTCACCCAGGGGAACTGCGATCCCCCACGATCCCCCCTGAAATGACCTCTGCTGGTGGTCATGGCATACACATTTCCCCTTATACACCAACAGGGGCCTGCAGCACCTGTCGCTTCATGTTACAAAACTCTAAAACAATGATTGTTAAATATCTTCTAAACTTGTTTCTTTTTCCTTCGTATTTGTGGTGCAGCTCTGGATTTCTGATACAGATGTAACAATGCCAAGCAATAGAAGGGGTTGGTCCTTTGGTGCTCACTACGTAATCCAGCAATACAGAAAGCCATAGGGGGTGCCGGGAGAGAAAGGAGCAGCTGGCACACAGCAGAGAGCCAGAATCCTGAAGAACTCTGAATAGAGAAAAGCTGCAGAAGGAAAGGTGTTGAAAGCTAGGGCTGACATAGATCTGGATCATAATTCCCCCCTCCTTCTAAGAGAAATGAAACTAGGTTGAAAAAGGAACCAGTGTTTCTGACAATCAATGCTCCGTTTTTCATCCCGGGCGAACAGCCTTTGCAGGTTTTGGGTAGTGTTTCGAGATCCTGACGAACTTGTTTCACCTCAAGAAATGGTAGGGTGAAAGAAAGAATGCACACAGTGGGAAGCAAAGCCCGCCACATATTATGCAGTTAGCCTGATTTATCTTTCCACATCGTCTGAAAGTTGAAGGATGATAATGACACAATGGCAGAATATCCAACAGCATGCAGATCCACCCAGAAAGACAGGAAACACGTGCATATATATGACATTACACAGTCATTCAGAGCAGCGTTACACTCTTAGAAACCCATTGACCTGTCTTGCATGGAAGCATGGAGATGCTTTATGGTGCCAGAGAAGCAACACCAAGGTCCACAAAGACAATATTTCCTTTTGTTGCCATTTACCTTTCTCAATCTAAGAATGCCTTCCTGAGTCTGGGAGTCAGAGGTGATTTCAAATATATCCATTCCATCTCCTTCGATAATATCATAGAACGATTTAGCATTCTCACCAATGTCCAGGTCATTTGCTTTTACCCTTCCTATTGGATCGCCAATAGCAATGTCTTCCAATACGGAGAAATGGATACAAACCTGGGGGGGGGGGAGAGAGATGGGGAAAAACACACACGCAGCAAATGTTAAATCTGATTACACATTCTTTCTCTCCGTTTCCCAAAGAAGGTGATTTGAGACTCACAGCTTATCACAGTTATCTGTTGACTGCTTTATGCACTCAGAAGTTGCTTAATGTGTTCATGGAATAA